TGAATTGTAACTATTCTGTTTCATTGCTCTCTTAAGACAGAAACTGCTGTTTCTTTTTCACAGGCTGTTCATGTGGGCATCTTTTTTTCCACACTTCAACGTTTGGATGTCTACGTGAACAATTCATTGGTTTGTCCCAAAAATACAGTATGGAACTCCCAACAGAAACAGTGCAAACATATTAGGCACCGATACCCAGGTATGGTATACCTACAGCAAAATGTAGCCCACGTGATATATGTCCTTAGTGGTCCATAAACTCCTTTGTAATGTCTCATTACTAAAATTTTAGTTCTTTAGGGCAGAGGGCTGGTGATATAGTTGGTTATGAGATAGGCTGCCAATTGCCAGGTCTGCAGTTTGAAACCACCAGCTGCTCAGAGGGAGAATGATGAGGCTTTCTGCACCAGTAGAGATTTTCAGCTTTGGAAACCCCAGGGGGCAGTTCTCCTTTGTCCTTTAAGATTGATTCCAAGTCAGAATTGACTCACGGGCAGTGAGTGAGGCTTAGGATAAAGAATAACTGTGGGTTAAATAGACTCGAGGCTTTCTACTCCCATAAAGAATGATGGCCACAGAACCCCACAGAGGTAGTGCTACCCGGTCACGAGGAGTTAGAATTGACTCAGTGGCAGGGAGGTATAGTAGTCAACAACAGAAGCCCCTGAAGAATGAAGGTAAAAGTAAGTGTGCTAGCCATAGTCCGCCAGGTACAAAGATGTGCTCCTCTTCGCCATGTGTCTCCTGGAAGGTCACAGTTGATGAAGCTTTTTCTAGCTCCACATGTACCGATGAAAGGTTCTCTGTCTGAAGGACACACCTTTGCCCCTGGGGAACGTTTCCATAACCTGGAGCCAGTTGTTCCTGTGTACACAAAAGGTTGTCACTTAGAATTTCTACCCTATTTCAGCTTTAGTTCATAGAACTCAGAACCTTAATATGAGGCAGCTTCAAAAGGTTCATGGAAAAATGAAGTGAAAAGTTGATAGACAATTTCCATGAACTTTCTGAGGCTCCTAGATAGCTTGCCAAGAAGGCCAGGATATTCCATGCATTGAACACCAAGAAGCAGATTAGATCAAAGGAACTCTTGATTTGAATAAAATATTTGAAAAAAAGCTAAATGCTTCCATTTAGCAGTATTTGTAAAACAGGATTTAGCTCTGTTCTTTGAAGACTTTTGGTTAAACAGACCAGGGTCTTACACACAATTCCTACATGTGGTATTTATTATTTTTACATGTATTCAGTAATCTTGGCTAAACATTTAGAAACATGTGCTATAGCTCAGGATGAATCGGAAGCCCATATTCTTGGAATAAGCCCGCTTTCTACTCCGTTACCAATAAGTAATGTTTCCAGAGGCATTTTTCTGAGAACTTTACATACTCATTATAGTCTAATAACTATTGGATTCTAACTCATTATATAGCTCATCATATTCTAATAGCAACCCTATGAGGCAGTTACAGATAAGTAAACTGAGGCCAAAGAAGTGAAGTTGCTCATTGATACTTGACTCTGATAAGGCCCGAGCAAGCGAGTCTGTCTGAGAACTCACCCTCACATTTAGCCCCTCTACTGTATTGCCTCCTTCTAGGTCCAGCGGTTAGTGCTGTCATTTCTTACATACAAGTGATTGTACATATTTGTAGCTTAATTTTTTTT